TGGAAGCAGAAGAAAGTCATCTGAAGTATAAAAATACTGTTTTGAGAATATACTCAATTTTAATACACAGCACAGTCGACCAGTACCCATTGCTTGCATACTTTGGTAAGTATTTATACTTAAATTTCTGTTTTTCATTCTATTTAAAAATGAAACACATTGCTTTTTATTAACACACAGCAAGAAACCTTGCTATGATAAATATATATGAACACACAAAATGCGTTCTTTTAAATTATTCAAACACATTTACAAATTTTTAAAGTTCAAATACGAACTTGAAACATCTTTTATTTATTTTTCAGATCCCAGCGGCAACCACAGTGTCAACAGTATTGTCAGTTCTTTGACTCATTGTCAATTGACAAGTGTTTTCTTGTTCTTTTACCCAGTTTCGAACATCACCAAAGAATATGGTTTTAGCCTATCATGATGCACAATTTGCATTTTAGACGTCGGTGTCTTTTTAAGCTTATATATTAAATCAGATATAATTTCCACAACAAAGTATGGGCCATCCAAATTCATTTGCAACTTTGGACTTAGTTTTTGGCTTTCTATTAAAGAGTATAAAGCCATACTACATCGCCTGTCTTGTATGTGTTCTCATAGGCTTTAACATCATACTGTCGTTTTTGTTTGTCACTAAGTTTAATTTTAAACGTTGAACTCATTTGACTTTCTTTTATACAATCTATTCTTGAGTCCTTCAATGTTAGCACCCCATTGCCCATGTCTATGGTACAGTTATTTTATGTAAAAAAAAATCATAGCCAATTACTGCTGGCACGTCAATCTCTGCAACAGTAAATTTTTGAATTACTGTATAATTTCCAATTTTAATGGGTAACTCTACATGACCCATTGTATTTACAAAACTACCTTCGACCAAACAAAGCCGCTGGTTATTTCTATGAATTTCAGGTTTAAATTCAATTTGGAAGTAATTCATACTTCCTGGGATGTATAACACAAATTGTAGAACCAGTATCAATTAAACAATTAACGACAACATTAACAATAAAACATTTAACAAACTGCCTTGTTTATACTTGACTTAATTAAACTAATGGACCTCGAGTCCCCTTCTACAGCTGCTGGTGAATGGTCCTTATCCCCAGCATTTACCAGTTTCCTTGTCTTTGAAAACTGTTATTTGTGCCGTTAGACTGTGGATTTTGATTATCAAAATTTGGAACAAATTTTCCACTTTTGACACAATTATGTCATTTAAATTTGTCCCATTCATATTTTCTGCATTCTTTCTTAATGTGACCCTTATTCCCACAATAAAAACATGTCACCCTACTAAAATTTTGACTTTGATTATTTGTCAATTTCTCCATTTGTTCACTTATTTTGGCCAAGCGAGTAACTACATCATGTTCGGCAGAATCATCATTTTCGGATAACATGCGTTTTGCCGGTTTTGCAGTATTTAATCTCTTTTGATCAACAGTGAAAGCTTCATATTCAAGACCAAACCGTACACAATCATCGATTGTTTTTGGTTCTCTTTGAATTATTGATGCACGAACAAAACAGACTTTGGCTAGTTGATCCCTAATTTCAATAGGTGCAGTCAGATAAGCTTGTCTAGTTACCCTACGAATTTCTTGTGCCATTTCTGGCAAAGTTTGACCAGGCTTTCTATAAATAGAATTCATTTGTACTTTGTACATATTTACTTGATTTGCAGGCTCAAAACGAAATGTCAAAGCAGATACAAGATAGTCATAATTTAACCTTTTAGCAGGCTCAATATCGGTCACTATTCCTTGTCTTGTGCAACTCCACGTAAACTAGTTGCAAGTTCATAAGCTTTCATACCGTTATCCCACTTATTCACAGTAGATATTAGTTCAAATTGAACTAAAAAGTCTTGCCAACTACCTGTTCCGTCAAATGTAATTGTTTTCTTATTTTTGAAATGGACTGAAGGTTCAGTTATTTGAGGTACACAATTATTAAAAGTTGGATGGGAGTTTTCACTATAAATTCCATTTCCTGCTACTGCATTAGTAGTCCTTCTTACAGGAGGAGTCATGGTGTATACACACCCGTTTCTGTCTACTCGGAAAGTACTGCACCCCTCATCAGTTATGTTGGGAGGTGCCTGCCATAGAGAGTTAGTGCTGGGCCCATAGCACTGTCACTACTTAGACCGCGGAGATCTGCCTGTTGCCGTCTCCTGTCATTAGGAGACCAGGGAAAACCTTATTACAAAAACTATCTCCCCCTCCATAGGATTCCCGTGATTTGCGACACTCGATCGTCGCCTGAATGACTCTCCAATAAACCCATTAACATGCTTTCCCTCTCCCTTATTTCATTTAGCTCTTGTTTAAGTTTATCTATATTTTTTGTTGGAGTCTGCATTGATTTTTCAGTAGCTCCCGCTTGAGCTCGTGGCGTAGTCAATTCATTATCCTTTTCCCTATTAACCCGCATTTCAACCTCCCCTGATGGTGTAAAATCAATAAGACTCCTGTTCATATCCGAATCTAGGTTCACGGACATGGCGGGGAGCCGTGATCGAACCCCAAACGGACTTGCACTATTTTCCTCTTCTCTAAAACAACAAAACTGGGTTGTCTGACATTTGATTTTGACATATTTGTTTATTAAACGGAATTAATTAAATCTATTTTTAAATATTTATTAGAATTTCACTTCAGCTTAATGTCCGGAGAGCCCATTATAATTGGGGACTCCCCACATTGGCCACCACATGTAACGTTTTCGCTCTGTGTTGCTATAGCGTTTTCGTTACCCTGAAGTGAAACTGTGACCCACTGGCAAAACTAGACAAACAAATACTCGGCAATAAATACTATTTCAAATGACTGCTCCCTTGGGTCAACTCAACCCGTAATCCAATAGATATAATTAAAGATGCGTTGTTTCAGTAGACAGAAATAACCAATTCGTATAAAGTTAATGATTTAATGAAGTATTTTGATCAGTTATAGATATGTAATTCAGATACTTTCAATATTAATGCAAACTATATCTTTTTACATGAGATCAACATACAATGAATAACATTTTAATAGTATGCAAGCTAGTGAGTAACTCTGGTCAAGTTCTATATACACATGTATTAAATAAACAATCTTATTAACAAGTAATTATAGAAATCTCTATAATTATATAAGCTGTGTCGACTTCTCAAACGTGTAAGTTGCGACTCCTGATTTTACTGTACTTTTGTGAAGATTCGACTTCGCAATATGTAAAGAATCGTTGGAAATTAATAATAATAATTTTTATACTATTGGTATTTCAAGTAAATAATATAAGAATTACTTTAACTGTAACTTTCTTTGAAGAAAAACTATGTTGATGTCTTATTTGAATAGCGACTTTAAGACTCGAGTCTGCGCCGTTGAGTCTCTGTATAAAATATGAAATATTTTTATCTTTCCGACTTTTTGTGTACTTTTGAGTATATAATTTGTATTCTAATCTTTAGAGTCTCTTATAATATGAAACTTATAAATCTATCATTTACATAAAGTAAAACTCTGAGAAAATATTTCCTAACCTTTTAAAGTGCAAGCTCAAATTGTTAGCTACAGTGACGAAAGGATTTTAATATTTAGGCTTGTGATTGTAAGCAACCTTTTGCCACGGTAGTCCGATCACGACTAAAGCTTTCAATAGCAGTCCAATATATATACAACAAAAAGACATGAAAGACTTCGTATTGACGTCAAAAGCTACTAAAAAGAGTCTATTTCAACGTAATATCGCCGTTCACGACAGTGCACTTTGACGGTTTACGGTAAGCGACTCAAGTAAACATGGCGGACACTACAAGGAAAAAGAGAGACTCTGAGTCTCTAGAAACTTGACCAGGTTAACTAATTCACTGAATATAAATATATATAGAGATTAAAACAACATAATACAATCATCAACAAATACATAAAGGTAGGTCCAGTATAAGGAAATTCCGTATTTCGTCTCATTTTCAGGTGGGACTTGACGTTATTTTTATCTTTGCTCAAGTTACTGTTTATAAAACAATAATATTAAGTACTAAATATCTGAGATAACTTATTTAAATGAAAAGAAACATATTCAACAATTTATTAGTATTCAATGCGGTTACACGGAGATTTAACTGTTGATAAAAAAATAAAAAGGGGAGAAGGGACACATACTGTTTAACAATGAGGACGAAATCCGTTACAATAATTAGGGGTTAAGGAGGAGCGGCAGATGTATCACCCAAATAAAGCAATGGCAAAGACCATGATTTGGTAAGGGAAACCCTAAAAATAATTCGAGTATAAAAACGAAATAGGAAGTGCACGATGGAATTATATGGTAAGGTTTATGAGAAAATTTTATTAAATTATTATTAAAGGTCTAATATTAGAAGTGTATACAAATGTGTACAGTAATGCGCAGATATGACGTCCAGGTCCAGGTCATCCTAAAGTAAACTAAAAGAAAAATCATTTAGATAAAGAAATTAAATAATATGTGCAAAAGTACATCATGATGTGATGAAGATTCGGTGAAAATCTGATAAAATCATGTCAAGCGGTTCAGGAGCAGTTGCGGATACAAAAGTGGGACAGAAGGACAAGCAGACAAACCCCCTATCAATATATACCGCCAGCTTAAAACGGAAGTATATGAATAAAAACAAAATATATCCGAACATTGAATACATACACATAAGAATAAGTTTGAATTCACTTAACAAACAAGCATGTTCTTGATGTATTGATTTTTTTAATATTTCATTATCGACAAAATGTATCAGTAACGAAATTTAGGACTGTTACAGATTGTATCACTTTATATTATAGCAGTCTAGCATCTGTTACTGAGGGAAAATTAATATTTCGTCTGCAAAAAATCCTACTGCGACCTAAAATAAAACCAAAAATTTTGTTCCCTAATAATTTTTTCAATCATTTAATACTCGGTATGGTTGTTTGATTGCAGTTTGTGTATGTTTGTATATTGTACGAAATTTAATTTTGTGAAGTGTATTGATTTATATGTTCTAAATGGGTCCTTTAATTTTTAATTTGATTGTTTGATTAGTAACTGTTATTGTACGAACTGTTTTCCATAGACTTTGATAAACATGTTCATTGGACGACCTTATCTATTCGGAGGACATTTTAACAACAAACCAGTACAGATAAAAGTTCACAGTAAGTCATATACTACAAATAATGTATCAAACTACTCTCTGAGTGAGTGTAGTTTCTCCCACATTCGATTACCCATTTGCCTTATGTTTTGTATACGTAGACGGAGTAAGGACAAGGTCATGAGCGTTCGAGGTGTGATGGTCAAAGAAAAGGGACTGGGCGGGTCAAATGAGATGATAAAAACTAGGATGGAAGTCGGAAATCAGGGGGATTATTCCAATAAATCACATTAAATCTAGAAATATTTTACATGCACCTTCGGCATGTTTATCTTGAACTTCGGGACAAATTTTAAAATATTCAGAAATAGGATTTTATGAATATGCATATTTTTTACAGTAAAACTCGCGGTAAGCGATGAAAACTTTTATATTCAATTTTATATTTTTGTTCATGATTAGTTGTTACTACAACTTCCATTGAAATGATACCAATTAATTATAAAATGAATATTCATAATTAAAAGAAAACAAACATTTTTATTGTAATTCTGTTCACACTTGTGATTTTAGTTAAGCTAACTAGCATCACTGGAATAAATATTACAGAAAATGTTCCTAACGGAATAAATGATATAGAATATTTGTTCCAACAGGAACAGATATTATGACATTGTTTATAACAAAGTTTCCAGTGGAACTTCTGTTAGGCGGAACAAATATACGTTGACAAGGCCACCAATGGGTCTTCAACGCAGCGATAAAATCCCGCACCCGGAGGTGGTCCTCAGCTGGCCCCTGAATAAAATTGTGTACTAGTTCAGTGAAGATGGACGTCACACTAAACTCCAAAACATATAAATGAACTAAAATTAAAAAAAGCATACAAGACATACATACATGTATACATGTGTGTGTAAGTGTAAAAGTTGATTCAACTGCACAGGTAAATGCAAAGGTAAACGTGTCATAAAGATAAACGAGTTTAACTGTTATTTCAATTATTTGAGGGACCATAATTGGAGCAATGTCTATTCTTGATTCTTTTATATATTATTTTGTATATTTTGCTATTTAAAACTATTTATAATACATTCATGGTGATGAAATAGATTTCGTTCAAAGATATGCCAACGTGGACGAATTTCAATTTTTAACAAATCTAAGTTTCGGAGGACCTTTCCTCTTTGACCTGTTGTCCGTGTTGCTCATCTATGCTTTTAGTTTTACATATCGTTTTCCTCTAATTTGTTTAGTTGATTTAGACCTCCTTTTTCTTATTGGCAGTTCTTTTTTGTCTCGATTAAAGATTAACAGTCATATGATTTTTCAAATTTAACAAAAAGATGAATATGTTCCATAAACTGGAAAGGGTAAGTTTTACTATAAAACACGCATACATAGACTTTCTCTATTTCTTTTAATCCAAATTTTCAAAAATGTACTGGTATTGAATTATTGTCTTGCCGTACTCTAATTCATCTAAAGCTTTTCAGTATAAAATGACCTTAACCATGAAACCTCTCTTTGAAAATTTAGCAACCTCACAGCGAAAGTACGGAGGGAAAATCGTGATGAAAGAAAAATATACTAACGTGGAAGGAAGAAAGTAGAAACCGACTTTGAAAGAAAAGAAATGATACATCAAATCATTTAACTGTTACGCATGGACAAAAACAAAAATAAAACAAAATCACCAGAAATCGTTTCATATGACTGTTTTTGCCCTAAATTGACTTTCAAGCATTTCTTTTTTGTATGCTCATTCAATTATCTTCATAGAAAAAGTTTCCAATTTGAGTTGCAACTGTTATTTAACAATACATTTCATATCTTCTACTCTTAGATGGTTTTATTGTAAAACATTGAACATTTTTTTCCCTTAGTATTGGTTATTAACTAAATCGCTCAAATACGACAAAAACTATAGCGAAAAAGGAAAATAATTTTCTGACTTTGGAAAAACTACTCATCGGTTTTGTCAGTTTTTCTTAAAGGAAACAAAACGCATGTTATTTGTTATTTTGTCTTCTTTTTGGAAAGACTACACGTCCTTAGCTGAATTTAAACCGGGACGGTGTTGTATCTCAAAATAATACTGGGATAAGGTTTTGATCCATATGGGTAGTTGCCCTTGTGAATTTTGGAATCCAAATAACCATTTGAGAGACCCATGGTCAATTCTGACGACTAATTTTCAACCCAGTAAATAGTGCCTGTATTGGTACACAAATGTTACCATGGCTAAGTGTTCTCTTCTTGTTACGCTAAATCTTTGTTGAGCCTTTTCTAATTTCTTTGAGGCAAATGCGGCGACCTCCTCCTGTAATCCTATGAAAATGAGCCCATACCGGTATATTTCTGAAAGGTGCTTTGTGCATTACACAACCCAAATGACATTTTACAGTACTCGTACAATCCATATTTTGTGATGAAAGCTGATCTTTTTCTTCCAATATTCTGCCAATAATCAATCTGAAGTTGAAGACAACTAAATAGAGATACAGACACTATACAGCCTAGACACATATCTATTCGGGGCAACGGATAGACCTCCTTTATGGTCAGGTCATTAAGTTTCCTGAAATCAAAGCAGCACCGGACAGTGTTGCTTTGCGGCCCCTGCTGATTTAAACAGTTTGAATATGCCATGTTCGAGCTGTTTATAAATGTTCTTCTTGTCTTTGTATTCAAATGCTGCTGGTGTCCTTCTTAATGGTTTTCTAATAGTAGCAGCGCCAGCTGTATCTATTCTATATTTGACTAGTGAACATGTTTAATCAGTTTTTGAAGAGTCAAAAGTCGTGCTGTTTGCTATTTTAACTTTGATGTTTTTACTCTGTATGCGGGTACTACTTCTTTCATAAAGGCTGTTTAGGTGTTCTGGCAACGTACGTTACATAAGATGTAAAAAAAAAACTGAACCATTGACACCTTTTTTTTTCTTTGTGGCCGGAGAATAAGATGTTTACTGTATCCGTCTACAATCACGAACAATTTGATTGAATTTGAACCGACTTATTATAACAAATTAAATCAACGTTTACAGGATCAGCATAACATTATTCATCATTTTAGACGAAGATGGAAAAAAGAATATCTTACATAATTAAGAAAATACCACACGACTTTGGACATAATAATCAGACTATCAAAGTTGGTGATGTGGTTCAAATACACGAAGATTCGCCAAGAATTAATTGGAAGTTAACCATTGTATATAAATAATTAGTTGGCAAGGATGGACACGTAAGAGCAGTAAAAACAATGGACATACAAATCACCCAATTTCAAAGTTATATCCGATAGAGGTTTTCTTGCGAATCGTTTCAATCAAAACTTGACACCAAAGAACGTTAAACAAAAAAGGAAACCATGCAGGGAAAACATTCGCCAATTAATGTCTTTTAAATTTGTACAGATTTTAATAAATCAAGTGATTTCTTCTGTCGCAGAAAGCTCGACATAGGAATAGTGATCCGGCGGCGGCGGTGTTAACTTACTTCTTAAAAGCTTTATATTTTAGAAGGTAGAAGACATGGATGCTTCATACTTTGTATATAGATGCCTTATGTTATGAAGTTTCCGTCTGTCATATATCCAATGTCCTTGACCTCTTTTTCATGGTTCAGTGACTACATGAAAAAAAGTTAAGATTTTTTGTAATGTTAATTTCTCTCTTATTATGAGTAATAGGTTAACTATATTTAGTATGTGCGTACCTTGCAAGGTCCTTGTACCTGTCAGACAGTTTTCATATGACCTCGACCTCATTTCATGGATCAATGAACAAGGTTAAGTTTTCGTGGTCAAGTCCATATCAGAGATACTATAAGCAATAGGTCTACTATATTTGGTGTATGGAATGATTGTAAGGTGTACATGTCCAGTCCGGCAGGTTATATTTGACATTGACCTCATTTTTACGGTTCATTGCTCAGTGTTACGTTTTTATGTTTTGGTCTGTTTTTCTTAAACTATAAGCAGTAGATCAACTATATTTGGTGTATTGAATGATTGTAAGGTGTATATGTCTGTGTGGCAGGTATCATTGACCTTGACCATATTTTCATGGTTCATTGGTCAATGTTAAGTTTTCTTGGCTAAGTTTGTTTCTTAGATACTATAAGCAATATGTCAACTATATTTAATGCATAAGATTGATTGTAAGGTGTACATGTCGGTCTGGCATGGTTCACCTGACCTTGACCTCATTTTCGAGGTTCATTGGTCAATGTTAAGTTTTCCTGGTTAAGTTTGTTTTTAAGAAACTATAGGAAATAGGTCAACCTTGTTTGGTGTATGGAATGATTGTAAGGTGTACATGTATTTTCGGTTTGGTTTATCTAACCTTGACCTCATTTTCTTGGATCATGTTAAGATTATGTGATACTTGAAGTAAATTTAAGCTTTATATTTAGGACAATCAACATAAAATCAATGGTCAGTAAAAAGGCGAGACATTTCAGCGTGTGCACTATTGTTATTTTCTACATACATCGACTTAAATTTGACTTTATCACTGTATTTATTAAGAATTTTCATCATTTTCACTTCTCGGCGACCAATGTGTCAATGATTTGTGGCTTTTTATGACGGACTGTAACTAACGTTACATTTTAAACGTCAATACGTTGCTCACACGTATTTTTACTATAAAGCGAAGCACTAGCCATACCTATTCAAGAAAACATTCGAGGATTACCAATTAGCATGTGACACCGATATAAATATAAATAAATACATATAAACATATCAATATCAATAACACTTGCAGTAATAGAATGATGATTTTTCTGTGTGATTTCATCGCATCATAATGCAAGAGTGTTGTTTTGACGTTCAAAACAGTCAACAAAACTGGTCTTTCTGTAGGATCTTAGGATAATTTTTTTCAGATGATACGCTTTTCAATATCTGAACTTGCTGAGCAAATGCTCAATCATTTCCAACTGTGGTCACAATAAAGGTTGCAGGCATACGGATCTAAATGGGGTTGAATTATTGACGTGCAAGTCAATATCGTATTAGTTTTGGCATATTTTGACAAAATTGAACCGAAAGACTGGTAATACACAATATTTATTCAATATTCCGTTCAAGATCTTGACAATGTTTTCAGTCCCAAAACATTGTTTATTTATATTGAATTATACTGTCAAAATTGTTGACAATCTCCCTTTAAGAATACAATTTGCGGCTTCTCAGAACTCCCATAGACAACTTCATGAGAAAAGGAAGGACATTTAAATACTAAATTATAAAATGCAGAACCTGTGCATCGAGATTATTTTGTAATATTATAAAAATGACAAGGTGTGATATGATTGCCTATGAAACAGCTCTCCACCCGAGGCCAAATGACGTAGAATTGAACAAATATATGTCACCGTATGGCCTTCAACAATGAGTAAAATCCAGACCACATGGAAAGCTATGAAATATCCCGAAATGACAAAGGTAAAACAATTCAAACGACAAACTAACGGCCTGATTTATATACAAAACAATAAACAATATGATATACAGAAACAAACGGCAAACACTGAATTACAGGCTCCCGACTTGGAACAGGCACATACAGTTAATATAATATTGGAGAAAAAGAGAATTCTTACTCTAATATGACAATTTTAACGCCTTGGGCTACTTTTTTCAGAAAAAAATACATTAAAAAACTATCAGAACGACAAAATGGTTAGGATATACTAACTCAATAGTTAGTTACACTCCTCGTATTACACATACATGTATATGTTCTTTTTCCTATATATTATTATAGAATGAGTTTTTGTCCATGGTGAAGGAATATGAATCAGGAGAACGCCAACCCAACTGTCAATGCATGATTAAGAGGTAGAATAATGAGCACGAGAGGCAGCAAGTTAGTATCAGAAATACAAGAACGATATTTGGAATGCAGCATTTGTACAGAGATATTTAACGAACATGAACGTATTCCTAAACTTCTTCCTTGTCTTCATACATTTTGCTTGGCATGCCTCAAAGCTCTGTACAAAAAAGATCGAATAAAATGTCCCACCTGCAACGGCTTGTATAAGTTGAGTAAACGAGAATTTAACAATCTTCCTAAAGACAACACCCGACGTGACCTCACGTCATTCATTCAAGTTCAAGTTAAACCTGACAATGAGTGTTTAAATTGTGGAAACTGTGTAAGCAAATTGTATTGTTGTTATGACTGCGATAAATGCTTTTGCTCTAAATGCTGCAAAGTTCACAAACAAAAACATTCATCGCATAATGTACAAGAATTGAACGAAGAAACATCCAACGTTTGTAAAATTGCTGGACATGACAATAGTCCACTGAAATATTTTTGTAAGGGGCCTTTATGTGAAAAAGTAATCTGTGCTAATTGTGCCTTATCCGACCACAGAGATCAAGGAAAACATTACTTAGAAGATGTGAAACAAACAATTGATCAACGCAAAGATCAGTTAAAGACAGCTGTTGCAGCTTTGAGAAGACAAATAAACACCGTGAAAGTCATAGAGAAAACTTGTAAGGAAAAAGATATTTCCTTGCGCAAAGAGAGGGAAAAGTTCTGCACAAATGTAGAAAGAATCTATAATGACGGAGTAAATGCGTTGAATTTCAAAAAAGAATTCATAGTCCAGAGTTACAACAAATTGCTTAAAGGACACGAAGAAAGTATTCTAAGCACAAAAGAGAAAACTTCCCCATATATTCAGAACGCTGAGGAATGCTGTAATATAACCGAAAGATTACTCTCCGATAATGGGATTAAATCGTTCCTTGCAGTTGATAAAACATTGAATAATCGTATCCAGGAATTTTTAGATAAATCTTTTGAAAATGTTGAATTTAATGACAAAGCAGGTTTACAGTCTGTACATGGAAACGTTACTTCCTTTGAACAATCTGTTAAAGGCTTCAAAGACTCTTTGAAAACATCAAAATCTAGTAAGAACTTATTGTATATTATTATCGTTGTTATTGTTTGGTTTCATAAATGTATTGTAATTGATTATATTGATTCATTAAATCAAATATTAGAGACACTGTCGAATGAATCATGTACATGTTGAATATAATTACGAAGCAGGGTCACAGTCTCTACATGAATACGTAATTTCATTCATGTAATGAGAAAAAATTACTGGGAAATACATACTTTTACCAGAATCGGTTTTTAAGTAGAAATATTGTTCTCCGAAATCTATTTAAAAAGATGAAATAAAAGGAATCACATAATGACGTATGGTATCAGTTACCAATCAACAGTTATGATATGCGATCATCCCACCTGTTAACCAACATGACCTTTATGTCAAATATAGACGTAAAATGCAAGTATTGTCTATTATTTTGAAAACCTTTCAAAGATAAAGACGATATGACCGTGGTAGAATTGTTCAGAATGGCAAGATCTACCTACTGTCATGTTGACAAAATTTTTAGACGAATCCTTACACGAGTATTAACCCTTAAAAGCCGATTTTGACTATTTATTTATGCACCTGTCGCAGCGGAGGGGGCACGAAGTGTTACCCTCGTCCGTCAGTACGTCTGTACGTCCCGAATTTAGTTTCTGTTCTCTTAACTTTAGTTTGCATCAACCAAATGCTATGAAACTTATACACAATGCTTATTACCACAAAACACAGATCAAGTTCGAATTTTGGTGGCGTCTCTTTTACCGTTCTAAAGTTATGCCCCATGGAAACATTCTCCATTTATCTTATCATTGCCTATTATCTCGAATACTATAATGAACGGAGAAAACCTTAAAAAGCGAAAATAATCAGCAAACCAAGCTCTTCATATATTTTAAATGGCCGAAACCGTCAGTCGACTCCTTATAGAAGTTATTGCCCTTTTCTGAGGATTTTAAACAATCATTTGCGTTTTGTTTTTTTTTATTTGAAAACTATAATAGATAAAGTGAAACGTGTCATTACAAACAGGATCAACAGGTCAAAATATTTAAATAAATCAACTTAGCTGAAATTGTCATTGTGGACTTTTTGTAGGAGTTATTGACCATAAATGACGATTTGTTTGTGTTTGCCTATTATCGTCAAAGCTATAATATATAAAGAGGAACTATAAACTTTAAATTGGAAAAATTATTAAGCATGTCAAGATTAACAAAAAGGCCATCAAGGCTGATATCGTATGTCGAATCCTTATAGGATGGATTGCTTGATTGATTAATTGATTGTTGGTGTATAAAGCCACTTTCAGCACTCTTGGCTATAACGTGGCGACCAATTTTAATTGGTGCAGGAAGCCTAAGTGCCGTAAGAGAACCATTGACTTTAGGCAGAATAAGTGGTAACCCGGGTGAATTAAGATAGGAATCGAACACACCTGCCACGAACGAGGTACGAAATAACGACATCCGCGCTATCGCTAGTGATAAACTACATAGACAACTCGGCCACTGAGGTCTTTCCTTATAGGAGTTTTTATTCTGGAAACTTCAAATAGTAACATAAAAAAAAAATGGTAAGCAGTCGGCTCCTTATAGAAGTAATTGTCATGTTAACCCTTTCTCTTCAGCTCACCTGGCCCAAATATAAATATTTGGCGAAAATTAGAATGCGGAAAAACTGTAAAAATGGCAAAACAGATCAGCAGACAAGATATATAAATAAGTGAACATGGCCGAAATTGTCATTTTGGGCAAGCACTATAGAAGGTAGTAAGAAACTTCAAACAGAAAAATTATTTACAAGACAAGATCTACAAATAGGGCAAACATAGCCATCGGTTCATGTCTTATAAGAGTTGTTGCTCTTAAATGGCGATTTATACCTCATTTTGAATTTTTTGTCGAAACTGTAGAAGTTAAAGAAAAACTGTAAAAAGCAAAAATGATCAACCAGACAAGGTCTACAAAAGATGAATAATATGCCTTCGAATGGTATATGATTTAGCCATGTGTTAGGTTGGTGCATTACAAACAAAATTTTATGATTAATGTCATTCCACTACAAGTTCCTAAAATCTATATGAATGCATTTTTCTTTAAATCTGTGAGAAACTCAAATTAAATGTTTTGACAATTAAACAATGCCTTCTGGGGAAATCTTAGTAGTATTGCATGGTGTTGAAATAAAACTGAAATTGTTTGATATGCATTTACAGGTTGTGTATATGGTTATGATTTACTTAAAGGTATTTCAAAGAAGCGTTTTCCGTGTCCTGAACCAAAGATAATTTTAAATTTAGGTATCAGAACTGTGAAAAAGGCTAGTTCTTACATGTACGACACATTCTTTGAGGAACCCGAGCAAGAGACGTTTCTTGACAGGCTGAAGCGAACATCCAAAGTTTTTATCCCAATATTTATTGTGATAGCAATGGCAATGCTACCAGCAGACTTGTTTATTTCAAGTAATTATTGTAAGTTTTTATCTTGAAGTATTTATATAAAAAAATCATATCTATCCGGACATCTTCACTACTAAAGTAAGTAACCTCTTCTTTTAAGTAAGTTCCTCCGTCCCGGAAATGCATTATTTTAAAACTGATATCATTACCTGTTTACATACATGATAAAATTATAATAAATTTTGTTTCAAATTTATTAAATAGCAGATTATTTATTTGTTACCAATGATTTATGGGGAAAGTCGTGATGTCACAGCCAAGAATTGAACATCGATTTGTGAACCGAAAGAAAGACTTAAATTAGAGGGGCATAGAATCGGCCGTCGATTTGGAATCTAACTTTGTATGGCGTCAGATTGGACGTCTATTTGAGGAACGGACGTCATTCTGAGTCTGACATAATATATATATATATATATATATTTACGATCTCAAAAGGATGATCAGTGATTTTTAATATTAAGAAATACATGTACTTACCATGCAGTAACATCAATATTTTTTTTATCATACAAAAAATTATGTCTAAATACACCGGTATGTGTTACGGTAAGTTATCTAGGAAAACATGAAATCGCAGAACAAACACGCTACGGAATTCATGACAGTGCTACTTTGAACATTTTTGCTGCGTTTTAAAAATATATTTTTCTATGATCTTATGCATAATTTGTTCATGTATAAACAATGTAAATTTTCTGCAGGAATTTAATACGTTTATCGGCTTTAGAATCTCAAACTTTGAATCGCGTTAATTTTGCTTATGGAAGATTCGAAAATGGTCCCACAAATATATTTTCAAATTTTACCTTAGTTAAACAGTTAAAGGATTGGACTCACTTTATTTGAAAAAAAAAATAAACAGTTAAAGAATTGGATCGTCACGGTTATTTGAATAATATGTGCTAAGGACTGGACTCATTGTTATTTGCAAAACACTAAACAGTTAAAGAATTGGACTCATCATTGTTATTTGAAAAAAAATAATAATAAACAGTTAAAGAATTGGATCGTCATTGTTATTTGAATAATATGTGCTAAGCAGTACAAGGACTGGACTCATCATTGTTATTTGCAAAACCTAAACAGTTAAAGAATTGGACTCATCAGTGTTATTTTTCTCAGACCTAATGCAGGAGAATCAATTTAATAAAAAAAAAGATCGAACTGTATATTTTACGCACGTTTATGTGAGGCACGCTTGTGCATTTTAAAGCAAAATTGCCCTGTACGAAAGAAGCTGGTGAATGATGTCATTCTAAAACCTAATTGCAGATCCGTTTGGTCGTTTTAAAACCGGATTCTAACTTACAAAATCTCATTAGGCACTATATTTAGTCGTATTTTGTTATTATTTTACAAGTCACTATTTTTACAATATGATTTTAAAATGTCTTTTTTTTTCTTTTTGTAGTTTTAGTTGCAAATTCCACATTCAATACTAAACCGAAAAGCTCATTTGTTTGTAGCTCAATTGACAACGAATCAGTTTCAACTATTCCTATTGGTTATAGCACAACATGCGGCTCAAGGGATAATTTTTTCAAATATGAAGGTGTCTTCGTGGACAGAGAATTTACAAGATATAAATCGCATAATTTGGACTTGGTTGTGAAATTTCAAGAACATTTCTTCGTAGATAGTGATTATGAAGGACTTGTGCTATTTGAATTTGGTTTGACAACTGAAAGTGTTAACACATATTACCTCCATGAGAGTAGTATGTTAACTCTTACTGCATACAGCTGTAGAAATATGTATAGTGTTTGCATAAGAATTGGTAATGGTCTAAATAGCCCACTATCATTGGGCAATATTTTTGTTGCCGACCTAAATTCTAATTATATGAGAGGGAAATTCAGTATTCGAATTCGACCAGAAAGGGGAATTATATCGTTTATTTCTAAAACAGATGAGACAATCCTGTTGTACAAATTCACAAATGTTTTAATAGACTCTTCATTGTTTGGAGTGTTTGCCTTATATGAACGAGAAAAAATATCTGTCTCGATGTCTTTGTCTACCGACAATAATATCCAGTTTGATAGATCTACTTTGCATCCAAGTTTATACATTTCATCTGATAACAAAACGTTTTCAAACCGACCAACATCTTATACAAGATTAAACGACAGAAAAGACAACAGATATGTTTATGCCGTTCCATTATCAACTGCTTCATTTGAACACATATATACAGTTGTGAACATCAGGTTTACTCATATTAACGGTTTGAAATATGGAACAAAGATGTTTGAAATCGGAGTAGGGAGTAACAAGAACAGGCAGTTCTATAAAGATTTAAAATTTGAATGCTTCATATGTAGAATAACAAAATATTGGATATTTGACGGTACTGGATATTGTTTACAAAACAGAGATGGACTAACTATAATTAAACCAAGTTTTAAAATTATCATGCATTACCAAATTACGACAAATAGATTAAGCATCTATATTCCGAATACTGAAGGAAGACGCAGTTACTATATCTACACATATACGAATTTTGATCGGGTTCTTCCCACTTTTTATATTGGCAAAATGGATTCCAAAGACATAACAGCATCATGGACAAAAGATGTTCTGCTATATGAAGCAGCATGGTTATTATTTTCAGACTGGTTGGATTCATAAATAAGACATAAATCAACAGCTTAAATCGCTTTCGTAAAACTATTAAATGCAGAAATATCATCAAAATTGCGAAATGTTTCAAATAAGAAAAAAACTCAGTTTATTTCTTAATTATTCTATTTGTCATAAGGGAACGGAATTTTCGGTTATTTTATATTTTTCATTCTGAAGATTGTCATACGACACTGCAATTCTTTCTTCAATACAACATTGCTGAATTTAGTTGCTTTTATTTGCAGATATATTATTATTTTAAAGTCATATGAAATGATTTTCTGATAATTATTATGTTGAGAAAATGATTGAAACAATGCATGCATATATATTATACTAAGTCCTCTGCGGACGTGTTTTAATACATTTATAACGAACAATACAGTATAATCGACAAAAAATATTTCATCCTGTGATTGTTGATCGAAAATTTTACCTGCAAATTAGCTTTCGGGTTTGTATGCCAACGTTTACCGATTGTTACTTATTGATAACCAATCAACACAGAATAATGGAACATGTGGAAAATAAGTGAGACGATAGAGCGATATATATTTGTATTTTTTATGTTTCCATGTTTTCCATGCGTACCCATTTGTTAATTAAACTAAACTATTTCATAACAGTTGTGAAATGATTTGATGTATTATTTTTTTTTATTTCAGAATTAATTAATTTAACACTATCTTTTCCCCCCTGTGTTTACCTTTTCTTTCATCACGGGTTTTCCCCCTGATCTGTGCAATTGCCGAAGTTCTAACGGAGGATTTCATGGTTAAGGTCCCTGGATACGGAAAAGCTGTCGGCGAATGATGTACGGGAAGACCACAAATCAATAGCATTACCTTTCTGAAGATTTTGATTAGAGTCTATGTACACGTTTTTTTAAAAGTAAAAGTAAGCAATTGAAGTATATAAAACATTTAAAACTTTTTTATTAAAGAAATATTATATGACTTTAAGTTTCTGCTTCTTTAAAATTTGTTAAAGAAAATATTCTACATAAATGATCAAAACTGCTTATAAAAATGCCATTGGGAAGTAGATTTATATACAACTCGAGCCAACGAAAAACTTATTGAATCAATCTAGCGACAAACGTATAATAAAAATACCGAACTCCAAGGTAAATTTAAAAAGGGGAAATCAATAAAAACTGACAAAATCAAACGTTATCAACCAACGGAACAATTTTTTGTTGTTCAAAAATGACAATCATTTCCACTACGAAGAATAAATGATTATTTTCAATTTTCCTTAGCATAAGTTGAAATGAAATACATTTTATACATTCAGTAACCACTAATTAAACAAAAACAAAAAAATTACACAATGTACGGCAAATGTCTCTTTTTATGCGGTAAACGGCGTCGGCGAAATAACTGTTGGGGAAAGTGCATGCAGTTAAAAACAAATATTTTCAATATGGTTCGCTTTTTGCACGTCAAGAAAAAAATAGTTGGCCCAACAACAATAACCCCATAATGATACAATTTTGTCGATTAAAATTAATATTCGAAATTATTCAAATAAATAAGATTTTGTTTTAACAAAACACAATATATATGTCAATGCGTACAGACAGATAAAAGGTAGGATTCATATTTATTTATTTGTTATTTTTATGATATTGAAGAATATAAATACATATATAACTATTTGCGATTGTGAGATGAAATATTTTCTACAACCTGTCTAGAAAAACGGAGAAATAAGCAAAAAAGCACGTCAAAATGGTGAAATAAGTGAACCTTGCATCGAAAATGTTTAATTTCTCGTTAACTTGTGCACATTGCACAGAAAGAAAGGTACGAAAAGAAAGATATCAATATGGGGATTGTAAGACTAGTCACTTTGAGCACCTCAATATTTGTATTTGTGTGTATGGAACGAAAGAAATGTGTCATGTCAAAGTGGAAGGACCCGATTTTGACAATGTTGTTTTTTCACATGATGACCCAGTTTTGTCTTTGTATAGGACCCGGTTTTGCAGTTTTATTTCTGTTTGAAACCACAAATTTATGAAATGCAACGTTATCACGCATCTGAACATTGTCCGTCGAAAGAAATTCAACATATATGTTATTGTAAAACAAACCTTTTGTGTTAAATTTTTTTTAAACAGGCACTTTTACGAAATAGGGAGTACACCTTTTTCGAAAGCAAAGCGTATACCTTATTGCACTTATCTTCGAACTAAGTTTAAATGGAATATAAATACTCTATAGCATGCAATTACATTAATTATCTTATAACCGTAGAATGTTTATTTGTTTACTATACTAGTCTCAGTCTGTAATGATGTAAAAATAAGAAGATGCGGTATGATTGTGTCACCATATCAATTTATTAAAAGAGTGAAGCTAGTATGCTTTACTTTACTATACGTTTTGTTGCACTTCAGTGTTCCTGTTGTTCCTTTGTTTTCCTCTTATATTTGATGTGTTTCCCTCGGTTTTAGTTTGTAACCCGGATTTGTTTTCTCTCAATCGATTTATGACTTTTGAGCACCGGTATACTACTGTTGCCTTTATTTACAATATTTACTATCATTAACTCATTCATTCATTCATTGACGAACAGTCAGAAAAAGACTTTATACTATTTTGCATAATCATTAATAATTAATCATGCATGCAACCCCGCCAAACATTCTGGTACCGTAAAATAAAGGTTAAACTAAAAGTATCACATAATAGTTATCGAAGGTACCAGGATTTTAATTCAATACGCCAGACGCGCGTTTCGTCTACATAAGACTCATCAGTGACGCTCAGATCAAAATAGTTATAAAGCCAAACAAATACAAAGTTGAAGAGCATTGAGGACCCAAAATTCCACAAAATTGTGCCAAATACGGCTAAGGACATTGTTCAATGAACCAGGATAAAAGTAAAGGTCAAAATCAGATGAAACCCATTAAAACCAACCAAAAAAAAATTAACATTAATGCTTAATTCTTTATTGCCAAACAAACAAAAAACAATTTTGGTTATAGCAATACAGAGACAAAACAAACATAAGAAAAACTACCAATAAACTAAGAAAAAAAGGTCAAGGTCACATGAACCCTAAAAAGTCATGTGTATTATACAACCAAATATAATTGACCTATTACTTGTAGTATTAGAAATACGGACCACGAAATGTTAACCTTGATCATGAAATGAGGTAAAGTTAAGATGAACCCTATCTGACGGAAAAGCAGAAATTGCAAGGATCCCATCAATCAAAAATAGTTATCCTATCAACAACTATTAGTGTGAAATTCACTTGAAAAAAAACAGCTATTATTTTTTCAGGACATCGCTGAAATATAAAGATGATGTCAAGGAAAATGAACATAAGAATAAACTCATCATAGATACCAGGATTGAAATTTTGTTTTAGCGCCAGACGCGCGTTTCGTCTACAAAAGACTCATCAGTGACGCTCGAATCAAAAAAGATAGATAGAAACTTTTTAACATAAGAGATCTGTGTGCAATGTATGGCGCATTCATGTCTTCTTACTTGTGAAATATGAAGCTTCATACAAATAGTTCAAGCCGCCGCGAATTTGCACCCCTTGGTCTTGCATTCCGACGAGACAAAATACCAATTGATGTGAATTTTGAGAATAAACATGATAATTCAACTCACATAAATCCAATTTAGCGGGTGTCTCTGTTCTTTTGTTTCTTATAAAATTTTAAGATGGTATACGATATAGTTATATTGTATCAGTGGCGGATCTAGGGTGCTAAGAGGCGAACGCCCCCCCCCCCCCACCTTTTGATGGCAAAATAAAAATATTATATCAAGTTTGTCACGATTTATATATATATTTTTTTTAGCATAAAATGGTCCAAAAAAATCCTATATATATTGACAATTATAAACTTGACGTCACTGAAATGTAATAAATTTGTCAATATACGATATTCAATACACAATAGAGAGATAAAAGAACCGTTTATTTATAAAAAAAATATATATAGAATAATCGTCATTGCATTTTTTGGATGGCCTGAGACTACAGTATTAGTTTATACTTAGTGTGATAGTTACAAGTAGGAATAAAAGGATTTTTAACGCGTGATTGTTGTGATCTTTTGCGCCGCATGAAAAGTTATATTCTAGGGCGATTCTGCATGTACATATACAATTGTCTTTTTATCTTGCTTTATAATGAACATTTAGTGTTCAGAATATTTATTTTCAAACGATCATAGGAAAGATTACAACTTGTTTTTGTTCCAAGAAAGCAGGAATTCAAGTGTTTACTGATTTGAATAAATAATAAATTTTGCTCTGAAAGAAATTGTTTTCCAACTCCTTTTGAACGCCAGAGTTTAATTTACGTTAGTCGATGATGCATTATTTTCTATGGCAAAACCGGGTCCTGCTTTGTGAAATTTTAGTATAAAACCGGGTCGTACAAATTGACAAAACCGGGTCCCTCCATTTTGACATGACCCATTTATTTCGTTCTATGCCACACATATACAAATATTGAGGTGCTTAAAGTAACTAGTCTTGCAATCACCATATTGATATCTTTTTTCCGTACCTTTTTTTCCGTGCAATGTGTACAAGTTAACGAGAAATTAAACAATTCGAGTCAAGGTTCACTCAATTCACCATTTTGACGTGCCTTTTCACTTATTTCTCCGTTTATCTAGAACGGTTGTAGAAAATATTTCATCTCACAATCGAAAATAGTTATATATGTATTCATATTCTTCAATATCATAAAAAAACCCAAACAAATAAACAGAAATCCTACCTTTTCTCTGTCTGCTGACGGTCCGTCACCGTACTGGATATTAGATACCATTGAGTCCAAACATATTTTGCCAATGTAGTTTAGACACAGTGGCGTAGTCCAAGTGCAAAAAATATACCATTTGACAAGGAATGTAAATATAGCATAATACTCAAGTGAATATTAATAATATTCTATAACCACAAGTCTATAAATAAACTCATCAAAGATACCAGGATTAAATTTTGTACTGACACCAGACGCGCGTTTCGTCTACAAAAGACTCATCAGTGATGCTCGAATCCAAAAAAGTTAAAAAGGCCAAATAAAGTACGAAGTTGAAGAGCATTGATTGAGGACCAAAAATTCCTAAAAGTTTTGCCAAATACAGCTAAGGTAATCTATTCCTGAGGTAGAAAAGCCTTAGTATTTCAAAAATTCAAAAGTTTTGTAAACAGTTAACTTTTAAATATGACGATATCAATGATAATTCATGTCAGCACAGAAGTGCTGACTACTGGGTTGGTGATACCCTCGGCGAATTAAAACTCCACCAGCAGTGGCATCGACCCAGTGGTTGTAAATAAACTCATCATAGATACCAGGATAAAATTTTGTACTTACGCCAGACGCGCGTTTCGTCTACAAAAGACTCATCAGTGACGCTTGAATCAAAAAAAGTTAAAAAGACCAAATAAATTACGAAGTTGAAGAGCATTGAGGACCAAAATTCTTAAAGTTTTGCCAAATACAGCTAGGGTAATCTATTCCTGAGGTAGAAAAGCCTTAGTATTTCAAAAATTCAAAAGTTTTGTAAACAGTTAACTTATAAATATGACGATATCAATGATAATTCATGTCAGCACAGAAGTGGGCTGGTGATACCCTCGAGGAATTAAAACTCCAACAGCAGTGGCATCGACCCAGTGGTTGTAAATAAACTCATCATAGATACCAGGATTCTATTTTAGTATAGTACTATTATATCTTCAAAGGGTCAGTTTCCCTCGGTCCTGCGGAACTAAAAAAATAACCGATTGAATAATTTTAAATATAAGTTTCGATGAATGTCATAATTGTATATAATGATTGTGTGTCTCTCGATTAAAGCATAAAAATTAGAGACATAGCTATCCAAATATGGCGTCGAATTATGAGAAGTCTTCATTCTGTTATTTAATTTTTTCCGTGCCTCTTTTGTATTTTCTTTTAGTTTGTTCATACATCACAAGCCAAGTTCCTTTTCATATTATTCCAATCAAATTCCTGTGAATATACCCCAGGGTGCCGAGCCTTAATATGATACTTCAAATTTAAAAAAAAATTGAATATGTTTTATATACTTCAATGTCTAATTTTACTATAAAACACGTGTACATGGACTTTCTTTTAAACGAAAATTCTTTATCTCATCAAAATCTTCAGAAATGAACTGCAATTGAAATATAGTCTTCCCGTACTCTAATTTGACGATAGACTTTCCGTATGCAGTGACCTCAACCACGAGACATCTCGTTGGTACTTCGGCAACCACATAGCGCAAGTGCGAGGGAAAACCCGTGATGAAAGAAAAGGTAAACAAAGTGGAAGTTAAATAGTATATATATATAACACACAGCTGAGAGGGTGATAGAGCAGATTGTTACCCAGAGAAAACATTGTCAACTGAGGCGTAGCAAAGGTTGACAATGTCTTTTCGAGGTGTAACAATCTGCTATATCACCCTATCAGATATGTGTTATTTAATTCATTATACTGAATGTTCTGATATTACTGTTTAATAATTTAATTTTGGATGTAACGCGTCTTCTGATTGGCTGACGTTGTTTTGTTTATCAGATCATAGACATAATTTTGTCATGTGACCGTGACGTCATCAACGTTTTGTCATGGTTTAATCCGGTTTAAAATG